CAGTTGCTATACTGTTCTGGTTGGTCACCAGGGAGTTGCTATATGGTTACTAGTCTGTTCTGGTTTATTACCAGGGAGTTGCTATATGGTTGCTAGGCTGTTCTGTTTGGTCACCACGGAATTGCTAAGCGGGTGCTAGGCCTGGCTGTCACCAGGGAGTTGCTAAGCAGTTGCTAGGCTGTTTGGGTTTGTCACCAGGGAGTTGCTATGTGGTTACTAAGCTGCTTTAGTTGGTCACCAGGGAGTTGCTATGCAGTTGCTAGGCTGTTCTGGTTCATCACCAGGGTGTTGCTATGCAGTTGACCGGCTGTTCTGGTTGTTACCAGGGAGTTGCTATGTGTTTACTAGGCTGTTCTGTTTAGTCGCCACGGAATTGCTATGTGGTTGCTATGCCTGGCTGTCACCAGGGAGTTGCTAAGCAGTTGCTAGGCTGTTCTGGTTTGTCACCAGCGAGTTGTTATGCTGTTACTAGGCTGTTCTGGTTTGTTACCAGGGAGTTGCTATGTGGTTGCTAAGCTGTTTTAGCTGGTCACCAGGGAGTTGCTATGCAGTTGCTAGGCTGTTCTGGTTTGTCACCAGGGAGTTGTTATATGGTTGCTAGTCTGTTCTGGTTTATCGCCAGGGAGTTGCTATGTGGTTACTAGGCTGTTCTGGTTTGTCACCAGGGAGTTGCTATGCAGTTGACAGGCTGTTCTGGTTGTTACCAGGGAGTTGCTATGTGTTTACTAGGCTGTCCTGGTTATCATTCGGGAGCTGCTATGTCGTCACCAGGGAGTTGGTGTGCATTTGCTAGGGTGCAGTTGTTTAGTAAATTAGCAACATGACACGATTGAAGCACAAACTCTGAACTCAAACACTCTCACTATGAGTAACAGTACTAGTGATGCACTAATAAGACACTGTAAATCTCTCTCTCACACACAAACTCTTTAAAATAGTTGCATTTTTTCTCTAAAGCGCCGGGTTTTGGAACACGACACGTCATACAGTCGCTCGAATCGGCCAACAAGCATCCGCCCACAAATTCCACAACTCCCAACAGATGATTCCGCATCCAAGATTTCCTCATTGACCTCCTCATTCCAGCATTACGACAAAGAGAGCGCGAGCGAGCAGGTAGGAGCTGTGTGTGTGGTTGACAATCACAGGAAAGGGAGGGGTGTCTGACCTCCTCATTGTTCTGTGTCAGATCTGCCGGGGTCTCTTTCACTCTCTCTCTGCTCCTGACGGGCTGCACGTAGCTCAGGGGAGCGAGCGCTCAGTGTCTGGCCCGCTGGAGGCCTTTTGTTCTGCAGGAACTAGACACGTCTACAGTATCGGACCCATCGCAGACGGACCACTGATCACACTCTCTCTCTCTCTCACACACACACACAATATACAGACACATATGAGTCAAAACATATGACGCAAAAACATGAATTCAGTGTTTTCACCCAAAACACAGACACACATACACACTTTTGATCGATTTAAATGAGGTCATGCTATTGATTTCGGTTATTTTTATATAAATTATAATGACTGTGAAACAAATTCTAAAAGAGAATAATATTTACTGTTTTTATGAATCATTTTAGCTTCAGTTCTCAAAGCTGGTAACGCTTTACTGAAAGCCTTTATGTATAATGCATTATAAAGTTATTCATAATGAACATCGTGATGCATAATATTGTTTCGTAAATAATTGTTAGTTAAAATGCAAAGTTAAAATGCATTACAATATGAATAATATACAGCTTTGTCATGTGTTTTAATGCATTATATTTTCTAAAGGTGTAACAATGAATAGATAATAAAGTATAATGAATAGATTCATGAGATCATACAATGCATTATAATGTGCATTACAAGGCACAATTAATGCATTAAAACTACTTGTATAATGCATTATATATAAAGGCTTTAAGTAAAGCGTAAAAAGACCTTATGAAGCAAAAAACAAGAAATCAATGTTTTCTCCCAAAATACAGACAGAAATGACAACACATACATTGTGAGAAAATACATACATTTAATCTGCTTAAATGAGGCCATGCTATTGATTTCTGTCATTTTCATATAAAATACAATGACTATAGACTAAAACAAATCCTAAAAAAAATATTTACTTATGAATCTTTGTAGGTCTTATCCTCAAAAGCAAGATTTAGTCAGATTTACCAGTAACATTCTCATTCGTCAACATTAACTACATACATTAGTTAAGATGAACTAACAATGAACAATACTTCTACAGCATTAAATAATCTTAATTTCAACATTTGCTAATGACTTTTTAAAACCAAAAAGTGCATAAACATCAGTTGATGTGTTGACAAAGATTGCGAAGTTAACATTAACAAAGATGAATAAATGCTGTTAAAATATATATTGCTTATTGTTAGTTCATGTAAACTAATGCAATAACTAATGCTAACAAATGAGATCTTATTGTAAAGAGTTACCGATTTAACTTCAGGGTCAAAGTACAGTTAAGTAAATAAACACACACACACACACCTCCTTCAAGACGGAAACAGACAGACTGACTCTGACCTTATTGGAAATGAAGCCTATTTTGTAGGAATGATGGGAAGAGTGAACGTGATAAAACACACACACATACATACATGGTGTATCACTTCCTTCTGCTCTGTATTAAAGACAATAAAAGTTTACAGTGCGCAGAAACATCCGCTCACAATGACACACACACACACACACAACAAACAAACAGAACAACAGCACACAATATAAACACACCAGCCAAACACTCAGATGAAGAGTGTGTGTGTGTGTGTGTGTGTCACAGGGCATGTGAATCTGGCAGGATATTGTGGATCAGGTGACAAACAATAGAGCTATTAAAAAATCACGCACCTGACACACACACACTCACACACACACACGAGGTCAGTGAGGTCATGGATTAGAAATGGAGACTGATTATGTGTGTGTGTGTGTGTGTGTAACTAAAATAAATTATTCATGCCAACAATTATTTCACATGACTCTGACAGGAGAAGATTCTTCAACTCAAACTCATTATAAACACCTGTCAGTCCTGTATGCAAATGAGCTCTGTTGTGATTGGCTGACATCTCACAGTCGTCTGGACCCTTTTCACAGTCTGTGATGATGATTCGACATAATATCATCATAAACCTAGTTTTATTTTTACATGTAATGTACATGTAAGATTTCTTTTAAATACATTTATATTTTCATTCAGTAAGGCTACATCAAATTGATTAAAAGCGACATTAAAGACAATTATAATGTTACAGTAAATTTCTACAGTATTTGAAAGAAATGCTGTTCTTTTGAATTTTTGATTCATCAAGGAATCCTGAAAAATGAAATGCATGACAGTTTCCACAAAATATTCGCAGCACTGTTTTCAACACTGATAATAATCAGAAATGTTTCGTGAGCAGCAAATCAGCATATTAGAATGATTTCTGAAGATCATGTGACACTGAAGACTGGAGTAATGATGCTGAAAATTCAGCTTTGATCACAGAAATAAATTACAGTTTAACATGTATTCAAATTGAAAACAGTTCTTTTAAATGGTAATAATATTTCACAATATTACTGTTTTTACTGTATTTGTGATCAAATAAATGCAGCCTTGATGAGCAGAAGAGACTTTTCTAACTCTATACTTTAATATAGGTTTTTTCCCCTTCTTTTTAAAAGTCACAAAAACGCAATTGTGGATTTTTTCTTTTGCTTTTGGAGAAAACAGAAACACAAAAATAATATTTCCTATGGTTTCCCCATGTACCTCTATAGACGTCTACTCAACTTTAATTTTCTTCCATGATCTTAACCCAAAAACTGTAAAAAGTGTTCATTTTAACATCCAACAATCTGCACGTTTGCCTGTAACGTGTTTAAATAACTAGACACGCATAAATTCACAGAGAACAAGGGAAAGACACCACGCTAACAACATCCTGCTGGGTCTGGGTGGATCGAAAAACTCACCAGCAGCCAGACACACCAGAAAGAAAGAAAAATAAATCTATGCTTTATGGCAGTTTATTGGTGATGACATTATGAAACCAGTAGATGGCGCCACTCCACTAACTGAACAGCATGAGATGAGAAAGTACATACTGAAATACTACTAACAGCTTTGTTATTTTAGTTTCATTGTAGTTTTATTAATATTTTCAATTAGTGTTTTTATATTTTCTGTTTTCAGTTTAATTTTAGTTAAATTTTTCATAATTTTGTTGTTTTTGTCATTTTTGTTAATGTTTTTTCTTTTTTATTAAATATATGTCCATATAGTTTTTATTCATTTTTTTTTTTTTTTCAGTTTTAGTTTGAGTTATTTTAGTACATCAAGTTAAACTAAATGAAAATGAGAAATATTGCCATGGCAAGTTTTTAAAAATATTTTATTTTAATTCAAGTTTATTTTATTTCTAGCAACATTTTTTTTTTATGGTTTTTAGTTGACTATAATAGCTCTGGTCAACAGTGCTACCATATCATTTTTTGGAAATATCCTTTTATCGTCATTCTCTCTTGACTCCTTGTAGTTAAATGCTGATGAATGCGAAGCTGAGGTTGCTACAGCAGTTCGCAAATATGTGAGCATTAAAATTCAGACTAATTTAATTACTAATTTGCATGTTAGTATCTAGCTAAACTAATTAGCAAAATTCACCTTAAAATGAATAACAGGCTACTGTAACAACTTCATAATCTCACATACTGTTCGGGAAGAACTGTATTAAAACACTTAATTCTGTGTCTCAGAACAAGAGGAATCCAGACAAACCCAATTTCGCTTAATTAGACAGATACACTAACATTAACTCAGAAGGCCGGTGTAAATTTCATATCATTCAGTGTAAATAGCACATTCCTGAGCAGAAATTGCCATCCTGCACGAGTTAAAATCCAGTAATATCACACACGCTGTCATATCATGACTTCACCACTAGATGTCAGTGTTGGATCAGTTCAAATAAAACACGTTCCAGCATCTAGTTTCTTACCGGCAGGCTGGGCAGGAATTTCTCCATGTTGTCCAGGTCGATCCCATCATCATCATCGTCGAGTTTGCCCTTTATCATCCTGTGAACAGACAGACACGACATGACAAGACGTCCCGCTGGCAAAAACTCTGTAGGCTTGTTTATTCTAATCATTTTGACACATATAAGCAACAACAAATAAAGTAGCACTATTATGGTTAATGATGGTCTTTTAAGTTTCCATCCTAACAAAATAAATAAACCAAGCCCTAAAATTTTATTCTGTAAAGCCTGACATGTGAAATAACAGTCACAAAAAAAAAAACTAATTTTTTGAACCTTTAGACAAAATATATATTTTATAGTTTGCATTTGTGTTTTGTGTTTTTTTGTTGTTGTTGAGTATCATATTACATACATCGAGTTTTTATGGCTCATATATTATGATATAGTGAGAATATGGAGGAAAAAACAGATCAGTTTTATTCTCAAACTAAGCACAAATAGGCAATTTGGTGCAGATGATGACAATTATATGAACAAAACGTGATGAAATTCTGATACGTGTAATGTAAATCAATGAGATCTTTATAATAGTACATCAGATCCTTAAAATGATATAAACGTCAGTCTTCACTCTATATCTCCAATAATATGTCTAAGTAAAATGAGATTTAAATGCTTAGTTTGATGATCAAATCATATAATGCAATGCAATCCAATCATGACTGAGAGATGAACAAATAAACATTCCTCAAAAACTTTCTAAAAATAATGTATGGATAATCAGTCCAAGTGTTCATCTTGATTATTACTTCATATGAAAGTTATTTTTTCATTTACTTTATAAAAATCAGTAAATATTTGACAGCAGAAAGACACGTGAAGCACGAGCTGAAGGTGATTTGCTGTTTTTCAGCAAAGTTTTGAAGATGTTGTTCATTTAGAGGCCATAGAAATATGTATCAAATATGATACAGTAGGATTTACAGAGTTAAATTCTCTCAATGTCATGTCTCATTCCCCCAGTAGAGGGCAGCAGGGAGCAGAGCGCCACGCCCCATCACAGCTCACCTCACAACAACACTGAATGCTGAAAACTCCCTGACATGCAGATTTACATTCATATAAATACACTTGCATAAATGCATTCAGTGCATTGCTGTGAAGTGATTCAGACTGTATCTGTGTGTGTCTGATCTGACGCTATCGTCTGTCTCACCCTTCTCGGTCGATGTGCGGGAGGTGTTTCGGTGTCCCTCTGTACGGCCTCCTGTGAAACTGAGAGAAATCCAGTTTCTCCGGCTGAATGTCCCACGTAGCGCCTCTGTGAGCACACACAAATCACAGCATTAACACACAAACAATAGGAATCATTAACTACAGTACATTTACACTTCAACTAAAGACCTAAAAGTCACATTTTACCCCCAAAATAAAGAAAATTAAGCCTTTTTTTTTTACATGCATCGTGACAAGCTCATTCAAAGCTTCCATTTCTCCCTGATCCATCCAGGACTGTAAAACTCTGCTGATCTGCTAAAACATGCACTTTTTCTTTTTCTTCCTAAAATCCACTGAATAAATCAATACAAACTCAGAGCTTATTCTGAAAGGCGATATGGAGCTCTGAACGGATTATAGGGCATAACTCTGAATTAAAGCATTTGCAACCTGCACACTAAACTGAACAATCTACAAAAAACAGCTTACGAAATCTGTAATGTACACTTGATGTTCAAAAGTTTGGGGTCAGTATTTAATTTTTTCCTAAAGAAATTAATACTTTTATTTGTCAAGGATGCATTAAATTGCTCAACAGTGACGGTAAAGACACCACTTAAGTGTGCAGTGACGGTTTATATGCAATGCAAACGATTTATATTTTCTATTCTAGCTTTCTATTCATCAGAGAATCCTGAAAAATAAAATGTATCACGGTTTCCACAAAAATATGAAGCAGGACAACTGTTTTCAACACTGATAATAATATTGAAAACAGTTCTTTTAAATGGTAATAATAGTTCATAATATTTCTGTTTTTACTGTATTTGTGATCAAATCAATGCAGCCTAATATTCAGCTTTGATCACAGGAATAAATTACATTTTGCAATATATTCACATAGAAAACAGTTATTTTGAATTGCAGTAATATTTTTACACACGGCTCAAATCTAATAAAAGAACAGCTAGCCTCTAGTGTGTGTGTGTGTGTGTGTGTGTGAGAGAGAGAGAGAGAGAGGCCTGAAGGTGACAGCCTCATTAATTAAATTTAGCCAGTGACAAGGTTTAAATTAGACTGTGAGCCAGCAGCACTGCAAAGCACAAGCAGAAAAACCAGAGCAGATGAAAATATTCACTGACTGCTGAAAATATGGACACATTTCAGCAGTCTGGATCGACTAATCGAAGACTGTTTTCCTTGATTCACTGAACAAAGAAGTAAATGCACTGTGCATCTCTACGGTCTTTTTAAATGAAATCATCACTAAGCCATATCACGAGTTTGGTTTTATTTCAATTATTCATGCAGCCCTACTATTATATGTCATTATTTACATGCCTAGATTTATTAAAAGTATGCGTGTGAATCTCACCCATGACAGTCCAGGTTTGCAGCCCAAATGTCCGTCCCCAAGACATCGAAAGAACAGTCTCTGTTTCCATTCTAAAACACACACATCATGAAAGTTTAAAAACATTTTTAAAGAAAAGTTCCTGATGACATCAATGTATAAATATGATATCTCACCTTCGCTGGGGCTCTGAACTGGTTGTTTTGTCCTCTGCTGCCTGATCTAGAACCAGAACCGGGTCGAGAACCTGAACTGGGTCTAGAACCGGTGCTGCCATTACTGCTGTGCTCCCAATCATCCTGAGAGAGACAAGAAGATTCATTCAGATTCATCTGACACTGGATGTGAGCATGGATACATTTACGAACTCATTCAACATCTGCAGGATACGTTTAAAAATATATATACTTAATTCAAGGGGAAAACTAGTTTTCATACCCCGTTGACAGATATTTGATCTTGTTTAACTCCATTTTTTTGGGGGGTGGGGGGGGGACACTGAAGGCCTTAAATTGTGGAAGTGCAAATTAGGACTTTTTTTAAGACTACGAACTGCAGAAACCCTACATGCCTCCAAAATAATTTTAATAACATAAAAATAAGCACAAGATAATCTGAGCATGTCAAATGAGATTTCAGTTCAGTCAAACCAGGCACCATCAGACGCAACTGAGCATGTGCAGCAGCAAAGCACGTGATATCAGCATAGTGAATAGGTGCGTTCGACTTGAAGCACGGCTACAGACGGCGATCA